CTGGCGACTACTGTACTGGAAGAATGTTTTCCTATTCCCTACTGATCGAACAGACTAGCAACCTTTTCTTCTGCACATCCGTACCGACGACACATTCTGTACACGGACCCATCGCACTTATAGCAGAATTTTCCTCTAATAAGAGGCCACTTCGGTAAAAAAAACTTGTGCCACCATTTTGAAGCGCTATGCTTAAGTGGAAACAAAAGTAATAAAGAGGAATCACGCTATAAAACCACCTTTCGTCACTTGTAATGGTTGAACACTTACAAGAACAGTCTTCTGTCAGTTGGTGGATCTACATGTCCGAGTCAATGTGAGTCGAAGCTGTGGTATTCTGTCGAACTCACCAATTACTGGACTCCTCGATCTCTGTCAGGTCAATAGGGCCTCAGATGCCCAGTTTAACGGTTGTAGGAGAAAGTGCTTTGGCGACAGCTCGGGTTAGCGGATATGCTGTAGGCGCCGTGACGGACAGATTCGTGTGATATTGCAAGAATTAGGCTTTTTAATTAGTCTGCGCATAAAATATGCTCTTGTCGATAAAGAAGATTTTCACATTTCCCTCCTGCTACTCAATATACTTGCGGCACTGAATAATCATCAACGTGTGTCCCGGTCTTGCTTGTATTATTACTCTATGACCATATCCTAGGTACCAACGAAGGACCTTATTCGTCTGGTTAGACTACCACTTAAATTCAATACCACCTGAGGTACTTCCTATTCATCATCCCAATTTTGATTATCTCCACGGTTTAAACCTTGTTAAGTTAGCGTCTCTGCGATGGGACACTCAACCGCTCTCTATTTTTCCCCTTGTGTTGCTCTCTTCTTCTCAGGTTCACCGGGCCTTCTTTCCGTCGGGCAATTTAGCTGACATCCTCTATAACATGTACCGAAATAAAATGTATGAAGCATCTTTTTGGCCGAAAATGGCGAAAGAAATCCAGGACCTTCGTTGTGAGGCCGGCCACTACAAGAAGGAGAATGGTAGGTGCCCTCACTGGGGTCGTATGCGCGTGATTGCACAATTTTTTTCTGGAAGCTTATTCACAACATCCACAAACTCCAGCTACTGCTGTGTTTAATGAGGTGATAATATACACGAACTGAAGCCCAGGCTGCGATCTTTCTGTCAGCAATCGTGTTTACTAGTGGCACACAGGAATATGAGCCCCTTAACTACATTTAGCCACACTTAATTCCGGGGGAGGAGGTTACGGGCTAGTTTAGGGGGTTATTGTCAGGAGTAGGGCTAGGAGGATTAATTTCCGGTTTAAGGTTACGGATAGGGCAGAGAAATCGGTACGGTCGAGGTGGTTGTGTCGACAACACGGAAGGTTTCCCAGGTCAGAGAAGACAGAGTAGGTTGGATCAACTTTTTACTGCCATGTGCTAGATGTCAGCTGTGCCTTCCGGCAGGTTGTGTTAGTCTGTGTCCGCTGTTGGGACTAATTGGCTCGGGGACTTGCCCCTGTTTTCTGCAGCCAATCCATGAAATGTCGCGCGAGGATTGGTTTCGGGGTTGTGCTTGCCTCAAACAGCAACTTGACCGGGAGCGTGAGGCGGATAGGACAACGAGGGCGTTTCTGTATCGATTGACCTAGGTCGTGCCAGGAAGGTTGCCACGCGCGAGTTCCCAAGGCTTGGCAAGCGAACACGCTCTGTCACAGTACCCCGCCCTGGAATTTTCAGCAGAGCCACCTATAGTGCGATAGATGAGGTCCATATGCTCGTTTCCAACCCCTGGCTTTTTTGTGAGGCTTTTCAATCCGAATCCCAATCTGGTCTCCGGAGTCACAAGCATGCTGCTGAGAGTAAGGTTTGTGTGCGTGTGTGTAGACCGCCGTGCTTCTATTCTCCGAATAAATGGCACTGGTGAGGGTGTATATCACGCAGTCCCAAATATATTCTGTCCTACGAATTTTCTTCAGCCGAGAGCGATATTTACCGACGGATTGGAGCAGATCCTAGTCGCACGGAGCAGGCTTTGGTTACATATCGACGTAAATATTTTCTAACTGCATGCCATTGACCGCAGTCGTATTCGTCTTCCACTTTCCCAGAACGGCACTCTTCCGCAATCTCTATGTGCTATTATTTGTCTCATGTGTAATCAGGCTTTAATTGGTAACTACTGAGTTTCTACGATAGCCGGAGACGCGATAAGTGATCGACTTTTCACGATATTTCTCCCTAGGTGGTCTTCCAGGGTACCAGCTAGATATCTAGCGATCACGCTACTTGTGTGAAGTTCCAACAGGTGTAAATGGGCACCTACTTAACAACAGTGCTATTAGGTACTACGCTTTTTATCAACTTCCTCTCACACAACAACGAAAAGCCTCTACAAAACCGTACAGTACCGTCAGATCAATCAGTTACGGTATATTATTGGTACAACAACGGAAACCAAATCTCCAGAAGCCACGTGAGCGCGTCAATCAGCGTTGACAGTGAAACTGTAAATACCCTCCCAGGATTTCGGCTTTTTGTCAGTTTTATCGTTTTATTGGTTTGTGAGCTAAACCGGACCATACGTATATAAAGTTCCTGTTTCTTTTGTTTGCATCCCTTACTTATGCCTTATTACATCACTCCCAACGCTACCAGAAAATGAATTCTTCGTTTTATCCAACGCTCCCTTTATTTTCTGTCATTTGCCTCGTCCCCCTAACACAGTGTCGACGTTTGTATTTTTTCAAACTGTAGGTATGTCCTACAAGCGACGTCATACGATCCGGGGCCTGTCGAAGCATTCTGCAGAGGAAGAAATGATTGAAGACCTAAAAGTTTCCGTTGCCATGTATTTTGATAAAAAGTATGGTATCAAACTAAAGTATCCCGAACTGCCATGTGTGAAGGTTTGTTTCAATTCCCCTTCATCTCCACCAACCACTCTCTGTAGACGAAGGACAGGGCAGATTACATGCCCATGGAGCTGCTTGAAGTTCTGCCCTATCAAACCCCCAAGGCTGATAAAGGTGATATCGCCAGCGCGCTTATCCGATGTGCCGCTGTGTCTCCACAGGAGCGGTTCAACCAACTCAAGTTTTATGTTAATGAGCTTGTCAAGAAGTAATTTTCCATTCGGTGATTGTGTTTACTCTATGCTCAATGC